TGATCCCCCCCTCCTCCTCCAGCCACTCCTCACAGGGATTGCGCTCCAGACCCTTCCCCAGCTCCATTCCCTTCTCCAGACACGCTCCAACCCCTCAGTGTCTTCCTTGCAGTGAGGGGCCCAAAACTGACACAAGGATTCGAGGTGCATGGAACAGCCTCCCCTCTCTGGAGCTGGGCCCACAGCCCCAGGGGATGTGCTGGGTTTGGAGGAGGACATGGACACCCCCCCAAAGGACATGGAGAAGCAACTACCTTTCCAAGCAAACCACCCCGTGTGCCAAATCCAAATTTTTCACATGAAGAAAACCTCACCCAAAACTCAATTTCTACAACGTATTTGGAGGTTTATTGAAAAACGTCAGCTCAGTGAGCACCGTTTCCCTTCACAGCCACATTATTTCCCTGGCAGCTGCTGCTGCTGCAGAATGTACTTTCAAGGGAAATCCCAAAAAGTAGAAAAGTGAGGGTTTTTCTGAAGAACTTCCACCGGGGGAAAAGGGGAAAAAAAGAAGAAAGCTAAAACCTTGAAAATTGGGTCAGTTCCTAAGGAAGCGAGATGGATGCTGGCTGGCAGGCAGAGATGCGTGGTGGGGATTCAGGGCCCCAGTAAGCCCGGGAGCACAACTCAGCCCGGAGGCAGGACCAAGTGGAGGATTGCACTGATGCAAAAAAAAGCACCTCTAGGGTCAGTATTTCACCTGTTTTCGGCTGACCCACCAGAACAGCTGTATCTGTTTGCTGGCAATCTCAAAGAGTTCACAAATGCTTCGGGTGAAAATGCAATGGGTTTAGGTGTGCTGAACAGCACCTTGATGAAACCCTGAGCAGATTAGATCAACCATGTAGATTACGCATCGTTTAAGATGTTTTATTCCTTTTCTACCAGCCTAGTGTGGGTTAAATGTCTGTCACGGGTGCATCCTGCTGGTGCACGGGGCGCCTCTCCAGGGAGACAGGATGCTCTCTTAAGCCATGTTTGCCCAAAAAAAAGGAAAAAAACAAAACCACCAGCAAGAGGAAACTATTTGCCAACTTTGACAAGCAGATATCAAACAAAGGAGTAAAACAGAGAAGAAAAATCCAAACTTTGTGAGGTTTCTTATTACCTTATGAGAAGATGAACCCCAAGAAAGCCAGGAATAGGCATTTCTAATGAAATATTGTGTGCGTTCAGCCTGAGATATAAACTGAGAGGCAGGTTTTGTTTGCACTCCGAAGCCATTATGAGCTTTATGCTTGTAATTTTCAATATATTTTATTGCAGAATAATGCCACCAAGTGCTAACAGCTGCCCAGAAGGGACTGTGATAGGGAGTGACTGTCTTAAAACAAAAAGTCAGCATCCGAACTTTAATAACATTAAGAATTCATTCAAGATGTCCCAGCAAGCTCAGAGCAGACACCGTGGGTGCCTGACACTCCTGTGCACCCACCTGGCTTGGCACACAATGGCCACGAGCAAACACTGACTGCAATATCCCATGGGATTAAAACTCCCAGGTCCCATAGTGATAAGGGGCTGAGACAGGGCTAGGAGAGCACTGGATTTCGCAGGTCTAAGACACTAAATATTTGGGTGCAGGGGGCCCAAAGCCATCGCATTAAAATCACCAGGCAATGAGTAGATGAGATGAACTAGCAGGAGGCACCTTCCTAGGGACAAGGGCAAATGACCTTGGGCTAGAATGTGGCAAATTTATTGCTTGTATCCTCCTTGAAACTATCCCAAGCCATAAATTAGTCCTTTTCTACTATAAAACAGGACACATGCTTGTGTGTCTGGGTCCCTGTGGTCATCTTAGTGCAAACCAGCTGCTCCTCAGCAGCTCACATCCAGCTACAGCCCCTCTCCCTGCCTCAATTTCCCCTTTTATCAACAAAAATCATGAGCCTGACCCCCAGCATGACATCTTCTGCAATGTGTCAGTGAAGACTGGGAAGGAAAATCAACGTCTGCTGGGAAGAATACTCCAGGACGGGTTATTTTGGACCCATTTTGACTATTTCACCCATTTAGGTGAAAATAATGGGGTGGAAAAAGTCCAAATGGCAGGAGGGTGCTGAAAGCAGCTGGAACCTGCGTCTGCGCTCTCAGGGGCAGTAGTGGTAGTGCTGGAGGGGCAATGACCGAGGGACGATGCCCGCAGGCAGGCTGTGACAGCATGGGACCACCAAGGCCTGTGTTGGCACTGCGGCACAGAAAAGCCCAAATCCTCTGGGAGCTGCTGAGCTGAAATATCAGCACTCACTGGGGGAACTTGTTTAGGCACAAACAGATTAAAAATACACCAAGGGGGTCGTAACTCTGCAGCCTGAGGGCAGGAGGGAGGGCTGCCAGAGAGCAACGTCCCCTCTGGATGGCTTATTGCAGTAATTCCCCTTAAAGAGGGCTTGCACTTCTCTCCAGAGCAGCTGCTCTCAGCGCCGCAGAGCCACGGGACCATGCTTGAGCTCGTCCCGGTGCTTCCTAGAAAGCTCCTTGCTCCAGGGCTCCTGGCAGAACTGCAGAGAGCAGATAACAGGGATTGGGGTTTTTCCACCCCCCGGCAGCGGTACAAGTTCTGGCCTCACTGTTTCTTCTACCTGATGGCTGGACTGGGACTCAGGCATTAATTAAAGGTGTTTTTATGAAGACGGGAACAGCGTGCTGCTGGGAGAAGCCCACCTGGGGATGGCGACAGGAGGGTGCAGCAGCAGGTCCCCAGACAGTGCAAGCTTCAGGGTGGGAAGTGGCACAGCCCCATAAAGGTGGTGCTTCATTGGCCCACAAAGCAAACCCCGTCAGCAGAGGCAGGGTGCTAAGCGAACCTGGCCATGCCATGCCATGGCCCACTCCCCCCAGGAGAGTCCATGCTGATGCAGAGACCTCTGCACCGCGCTACACAGCCATGACCAACTATGTAGCACTATTGTAAAGCATTAATTAGATAGCATCATTAATTAAAATTAATAATACACGTGGGCACATTGCGCTGGAGGGTCCTGGTCCGTGACCACCCCAGCCTGGCATCAAGGCTGTGGCAAACCCACACCCCACCAGAGGAGTAAGTGAAGGGCGAGGGTCTTACCTCGTATATATAATCGAAGAGCTCTAGTATAGTGAGGATGCTAGCACCGATAAATAGCCCCATCTGGCCTCCAATGTCACCTGGGAGAGAGAACAACACACGGATGGTTTTTACCCCTGGAGCAAACACTCTTAGAGGCCCCCATTCAACCGTGGGGCAGCTGCCATCCCCGAAGTGGGCGAACACAAAGGATGACCCCTCCAGAAACACCAACAGCTCTAATGGCAGGAAAAGCATCCCGGGAAGGATGTTGCTGGCCACCAAAGCACTTCTTCTGCTAACGAGGCCATCAGCTGGAAGCCTAATGAGGATATGGTACCGCACGCTGGCATCTGAGGAAGCCATCTGTCAGAGTTAGACAGCAGGCTTCATCCCAGGAATCCCAAAGCCCCAAACTGGGCCGGGGAAGGAGAAAGATGCTGGAGAAGAATTAGGTAACATCCCCTGGAGCTGAGAAAAAACCCAGACCTGCCAAAGAGGGGAAAGGGAGAGAGAAGATGGCTTGATTTTTCTGGGAGCATCTCAAGGCTCTCTCTGCTCGAGTCCTACAATCCTCCTGGACTGGATAAAGGGCTGCAGAGGAGACACCGTGTGCAGAGGAGACTTCCAGGGATTTGCTGGGAAGGTAACTCCTGACGTGAGATGCTGTGCTATGCCAAACTGTGTGTTTCAGGGGAGACAAACCTCATATTTTTTTCTGCAAAACACCCAAGGTTCAACTGCGTTGCTCCCCAGAGTAAAGGCACCCATGGGTGGAGGGGCTACCAGGACCTTTGCTGTGGGTGTCCATGGCAGAGACAGAAGAAAGAGAGGAAAAAAGGTGCTTGGGGCAAAGTGCTGGTTCAAAAGGGGCTGTGGGGGAGTATGAGACTGCCCAAAGCCCGCAGTGCCTTGGGAATGAGGGTCATGAGAGGTCGTGCAAATGAGGCAGCTTATGTCAGAGAGGCTTCGTCACCAGCTTCCTCTTCAGGAACCCACAGCAGGTGCAGAAGGGCTCAGGGCAGGTACATTCTGAGAGCTACCACTGTGAGGTGTTAAGGGGGCACCCTGTAGGACATGGGGGGTGCTCTGCTTCACACAGCATCCACCACCCTGGGGCAGGCTCACAGCATCCGAACCTGCAGGATGGCCCAGCTCCAGCTTTCAAATTTAAGTGCTGATCGCTCCCTGCCTCCCAGGAGGGATTCTGGGGAGTGGGGGTTACATATGGGGGGTGCAAGGCTGAGCGTGGGGTCAGCAGATGCTTGTTTCTCCTGACAGAACACCTCCACCCCCAAACCCAACAGGTCCCAAGCACCCCAATCTGTTGCTGGTACCCACAAAGCCTGACCCAGTTTGAGGCTGAGCTACCCAACAACTCCTCCACCATCTCCATTAAGCTGCAGGGCACCACCCAAAGGCAAAGAGCTCAGGGTCCTGGCTGGCCTGGCTGGAGAGGAGGATGGATTTGGAGCACGTAACAGGTGATGGATAGATGGCTTTAAGAGCTGTCCTCCTCCACATACTGCCCTTCCAGCATTGGGGCCCCCACAGAGAGGGGCAACATCACCTGCTCAGCCCTGGGATTTCCAAATAACAGGGCCCTGGTAGCAAGCAGAGATGGAGCAGCTCACATTAACCTTTCACAGGGGATACACGGACTAGTTGTGGTCCCTGGGACATTCCTGAGACAGCTTGGTGTTGGAAAGGAAGTAACAGATTGGGTTGAGAGCACACTGGGCAGGAAGGTGTCTGGACTTTGCTGGGATTTTCAAGGCAATACACATAAGCTGTCCACCCACTCATAACAGCTGTCCCGTAACACTCAAGGACCCCAGCACAGCCTCACATAGATTCCAAAACGCACCCTCGACCTCTCCTTACCAAGTAAGGCTGCCACTTCATAGGCCTTCTTCTGCTCAATTGTTTCGTAGTTGAGTGCTTCAAAAAATATGTCCAACACAAGAATATTCTCTCTGTAGAAAGAGGACAATTGCATCAGCTACCAGCAGCCTCATGTTCTTTGGGACAAGAAAAAGAATGGGACTTTAGGGCATTATTCCCTTCTCTGTCCTGGCTGTTCTCTTTCTCTTTCTCAGCAGGCCACACATTTGGATCTCCTGGAGACCAAGATCGTAGGGCACTCTGGCAGCCTTAGCAGAAACTGGAAAATGTTTCCTGAAGATCTCCCAGGACCTGAGCTCTGGGTCTCACTTTGATGATAACAGCAAGAGCCCAAAGGTTGCTTAATATGGAATAACTCTCGCTGCCTCCAGAAGGAGGTAACATGCCCAGGGCTGGGAGAAGTCCAAGACAGTGGTTGCCTGAGGTCCAGAGCCCAGACTTGGGTAAAGAGCAGCAAATCTCATACAGGGCCAGCAAGGCTGGGCTTCCCTGTCACACTAAGAAGAGGTTTTTCACTTTTTCTTGGTGGGTATGGGGTATGCTCATGGAGACCAGACCAGGGAAGGACTATACAGTTGTCCCGAAATACATCTACTGAGATGAAAGCAACCTACACCTCATTTCTTCAAGGGTTTCACCCTAAACCTCTCTAGAGGACGTACCTCTGCTCAGTGACGGACACGCTGGCAAGGTCTGGTCTAAGCATGGGCTGTCTTAACCTGCCAACAAGGTTTTACAGACACCTTCCCCCCATAAAGCAGAGGAGAGCTGTTCTCTGCAATACTCACGAGATGTATTTTTCCGACTTGTTGAACTTCTTCTCCAGGTACTTGGCTGAAGTCTTGCTGGGGATCTTGACCATGGAGAGCTCTTTGTTGTACCTGGTGAGGTTACAGGGTGTCCTGCAGATGCAGTAATTGCTGTCCTTTTCAGCAAGCAAACCTGGAGAAGGTCATAGTTAGATCTCGGGGAGTCAGGGATGCACAGCAGGTGTGAGAGCAGAGGCTGTGCCACCCAGACAGGGGCCAAGCAGTCACATCTCAGAAGAGTTGATGGAAACCCAGCCCTGCCCATTTCTCTCCTACGTCACTGCACAGCCATCCCTACCATCTTGGGGAGAGGCCCTATGCTGCAGGCTACGTTCCGTTAGCAGCATCTGCTCGGGGGACACATGGTGATTGTAGCTCATCCCATGCTTGTAACACGCCACCCCTTCCCCTCCTGTGTGTCTGATCTTGCTAAGAGCAATCAGCCCTGGGAGTCTTCTAAATCCAGACCTAGAAAGGGCCCCTCCCTCCCAAACCCAGACCCAAACCAAGACCTAGAGCTGCTCCCCTCCTACGTATCCTGGGGTGCCCATTATCCTGCAGGTTTCTGCACTGATGGAGCCCCACGTCCAATGCAGAACGAGAAGAAACTTCATCCCAGGGTACACCCAGCCCTTCCCAACAAGCTGGGTCTCATCCAAACCCACTGCTGGGTTGCAGCTGCTCTAGATCACCCCAGTCCTGCCAGCCAGGAGGATGCAGGCTGGTGGAAGTCCCTCCAGCCTGGGACACCCGTGGCACCCAGTGACATCTCTTGGTACTCACCGAGCGCAGGCTCTGCGCACTCCTTATACTGCTCCGGGGTACAGAAGGGAGCATCCCCTGCATACAAAGGACACGTCCATCAGTGGGCATCTGCCACCATTGCTGTAAGGGGGCTGGGGACCACCAGGTTCTCCACGGGGACCGCAAAGACCTTTCTTTAGCAAAGTGAACCCAGGCTGGGGACAGGCAGCAGAGGTATCGCAGCGTCTGCTCCACCTCTGCCTGTCCTGGGGGGCTTTTCTTGCAAACTGAGGAGGCAGCTGCTGGAATTACCACCCAGGGCTGCTAACTGGGGTTAAATAAGGGGAAATCAGACCCAGGTCCCTTCCTGCCCCTATTTCAGGGCATTTTGCAACATCTATTAGCATCCTTCTTTCCTTAGGGAAAGGTATTCCCAGCTACTTTAATCCCTGATCCCTCTTCACCTCTGTAACCCGTAGGGACCGAAGCTGGGTGGAGGGAGGGGGTCCCTGTCCCCCTCGGTGCACTGACCTGGCATGTGAACCATTTTGCAGTTGCAGTTTTCCACAATATACCGGGTCTCGCAGTCGATCCTGCAAGCCGTGATACTGTAAACGGGAAAGAAGTCTAAGCCCATATCCGACGAGCGACATTCACCCCACGGCGGAGGCAGGTACGTCAGCTGCAAGAGAGGGAGGAGTGGGGTGTCAGCAGGCACCGGGGACCGGCAGCGAGGAGCGGGGTGCAGCAGCTCCCTCCTCTTGACAGAGAGGAGCCCCCTGAGCACAATTTTAATGATGTTTGGAAGGATGGGACTAAGCGATCCTGTTGCAAGGGAAGGCCACAGCATGACTTGTGCCAAGGGAGGGCCTTCAGCAAGCTCCAGAGCTGCTCTTCTGCATCCCTCCAGCCCAGCATCTCCAGGAGCAGAGCCACAGCGGGATGGTGCACTGGAGATGTGCAGCACCAGAGGTGTCCCCAGACCAGCTCCGTGGTCTTTCTTGCAGCACTGGGGAAGTTCTGCCCATGCAGGGACTGACGAGGAGGCTTGGACCTGCCAATCATCTACAGCTTTGATGAGAGCCAACGTGGAGTCACTGGCATCACTGCATCGACAGCTCCTGTCCCCAGCTTACCTCCAAACTTCACTGCTACGTGCCACTCACGGGGACAACGCAGACAGCGTTGATGACACCGAGGAGCAGCAAGGGGTGGCAGTGAGATCCTGGCCATGACTGGTTGCCCTATGTGAGCAAAGCTGCCATATTTGCGCCATTCCTTCCTTCAGGCACTTTTGTCATTGATCAAAAATGCAGCAGATCACAACCCTCAGAGAGGGCCAGGGACTTGGGAAGCACATGGAAAGGTCCAAGAACAGTTCAGCAACTAGAGATTGCTGCAGAAGGTGAAAAATGCCAAGGAAAGGGTGTACCAGTGCTATAAGGAGCTCTCAAACTTTTGTGCTCCCCATGGAGGGATGGAGCGCTGGTACCGTGGGAGATGGTGCTGGGCTGCAGAGCAGTACCTGCTGCAGCCTTGGAGAAGGCTGACAAGTCAATCGTCCTTTTCCGAACACCCATGCTCAGGGAGAGCCCTGTGGAGTTAGATACACGTTATCCCCTCTCCTGGCACCCCACAATGAGGAACCCGTCTTCTCCCCTGTTTGCACACCACCTCGCGTGAGGCTCATCAGCTGCTTTGCTCAGTGCTACTGCAACACAAACCCTCCTGCTGTCACCGCTTTATTTAACACAAATGCAAAAAGAAGATAAGCAAGACTCCACAATCCACCACAGAAACCTTAATTCAGAACATGCTGGAGGAAAAACAGTCACTCTCTAGCCCTCACGGCCAAATCTACCTTGTTCCTCTTCTGTCTGAAGCTTGGCAGCCTTTCCCATTTCTCTTTATCTTTGCTAAATGCTCTGCACTACTCTTTGCTAGAGAGCAGAAAATAGCATTCCCCGAAGCCCTCCTTCTTCATGTTTTGAAGCAGCATCCAATTTGCTCTGCTTTGCTCCAAACACAGAACGTTTTGTGCTGGCACGAATAAAAACATTCCTTTAAAAACTGTAATAACATTAATCACATCCTAAAATAAATAAGTAAACATATGCTGATGGACTAAGAGCCTAGGATCTAGTGGCAAGGCTCTACGGTGCTTGTTTTGGGTTTCTTCTGGAGGTGTGTGGGCAAGGGAGGAAAAAAGAGATGACCCTCAAAGCAGAGGCACGCTGCAAATGCTGTTGGATGAATAATGACCCCATGAATCCTTCAGGCATGGACATGGGTAACTGTGACAAAACTACCATGGCGTGAAGCATTTGGAGCCCACGGCCTGCTCCAGGCCATTCCCAGGAGATCTGCAAGAGCAGAGCTCCAGCTCTCCAACGCATCCTGTGAGAAGGTGATCACCTTGTGCACCAGCCTGCAGTGCTGGGCACTGGTAAATCTCCCCACGGCTTTGGCTTAGGAACCACTCAGTAGTTAAAAACCCATTATGGGCTTAAATTGCAGCCAGGAGAGACGGATGAGATGGTGGGATGAAAGTGTCTCGTGGTGAAGACAGTGGGTGTGGGAACAGTGCCTGCAGAGGCAAGAAACCTGGAAGCTAAAGGAGAGTTTGGGGAAGATGCCAGGATTCAGAGGGTGATCCTGCCCTCTGGGGCTGCACAAACCCTCAGCTCAGCCAAGCCAAAGCAATTCCTTCTCCATGAACAATTTTGCCATGAACAGTTCCTATCCAGGAATCCAGAAGCACTCTGCATTTTTTCCGGCACTTTGCTTGCTGCACCTGTGGGCACTATATGGGTTCTCACTTATTTCTGTCTCTAACAGGCTGATACAGGCTTTGTGGGACTATGGACATGGCAGCACTGTGGCATATCCATCTTCTAGATGAGCCACATGTCCTCCCCACGATGACATCAAGGTCTTCCCTTGCATGACCCCAAGCACAGACCCAAGAAAAGCTCAGACCCTGCCTGCACAAGGGTGAAGGGGGTCTCCATGTGACGGTGAACCCCTCCTTGGCTCTGCTCCCCCCACCAGCTGGGGAAGGAGGGAATCACCAACTCCCTTGCCCTGCCCCTACGAGCATCATCCCCGGTCTCACGAGCTGACGGGACACAAACTCTGCAGAGACAGTCAGCTGCGTGGTCTGATCAGCGCCTCTGCGTCCTGCTGCGCACATGCCAAAAACCAGGATGTTATCCACGCCAGAGCAGGCATCACCCATGGGTGCCTGGGCTGCTTGCGGTGCGACGTGAGCTCTGGCGTTCCCAAAAATCTGCCTCAATCCTTGCTGCTGCTCAAGCTACTTTGAAAAGCAAGAGCAGCAAGAGCTGTTCAGCCACTCGGAGCTCACGCACCCATCCCCCTACTCAGCGGGTCCAATCTGAAGAGCAGACAGTATTCACATCGGGCGAGAAGATGCAGCAGGCGACGGAGTGATCCCATCTGCAGGGACCAGCTGAGGCACCAAGGGGAAAAAAGCAGTTCCCAGCACCTCGGCATCCTCCAAGAAACAGGGCTGGCTCAGAACGGGATGGTTCTGAAAGTCAGCTAAGCAGCACCTTGTAGTGAAAATATCAAGAGCGTCTTTGTGACAATAGCAAAGTGCTGTTTGAAGGGGATCTTTTCTCATTTGCTTTACACTTGCAATATAATAGAGTACCAGATGCCATCATTTAGTCATCCACGGTGGAGAAAGGGGCCCATATGTTGCACGTTGTACGATAAAGGAGAATAAATAATCGCAGTTTCAGATGGAATCAGCTCTCTTCCAAGCACAGCTACACACAAATCTTTTAATCCCTCTAAATTGTATTCTGAATGTAGGTGACGGGATCAGGAAACGATGGAGTCGCCATCAGATATTTAGCTTAGGCACTCTTCGCTCAGCCAGCGTTGGATCTGAGCCACGGTGCTCGTGAACTGGCACCGTGTCTGCAGGAGGTGCACAGGCTGAATGATTAATTAAACCCTAATCAATGCAGCTTCACTAACAGAGTTACGGCCTGGGTTGTAGCCAGGACCACAAGCACTGTCTACCCCAATACTGCGAGGCTTCTCCCCAAAGTGTGGGCCATCCCCTGGGGATTTGCTGCCTGGCCACACACACAACCCTGTGCACACACTCACGCACACCACTCCCTTTTTTTTTTGCTTCCTAGAAATGCAGGAATAGGTGCAACGCATCTTCCCTGCCATGTGCCATGACTTTTGCTCTCCCCACCGCGCTCTGAATCGCTGATATTTAAGAGCAGGAAAAGCCTCTTGGTGCATTCAGCACCGGTGGAGGATTTTTTGCTCTGCAGTATAAAAGCTTTCCCTGTTTTGGAGAAAAGCACGTTGTGTCTGGGACCAACAGGAGACTCCAGGGAGGCTCCAATTTTTACTCTTTAAAGGAAATTTTCCCAGTGAAACTCCTGGCCATGGAGCAGAGCCCGGTGGGGTGCGACCTCGGTGCTGCCTCGTTCGATATCAATCCCCATCTCCTGTGTCTCTCTAACACAGGGCAGGATTTCTCGCTGCTGGCCATGTCTCTGCGCAGAGCCCCGAGATGCGGCGGCTGTAACCAAAGCATCTCCCCCACCCAGGGGACCAGCACCGAGAATCCATGAGTTTCATCTTCCATCGCTGGCTCGGTGGGAAGCAGCGTTGCAGCAAGGATTCATTTGAACTTTGACAGGCAAATTTTCCTTACAGAAAAGATTTTAGAGACAAACCTCCCCGGGCTGGCAGGTTGGACCCTCCCTCCCTTTAGCAAGTCCTTCTCTCGCCAAGGGGCTCATCAAGGGCTGTTACCTGGAGCCTCCATGGTAATTACAGCTTGAAAAGCTCGTTGCTTCCCTCGCACTCTGTAATTTGTAATCAGAAGCAAACTCTCAGCTGATCAGCAGCCAGATATGGATGTGGGACACCTCCAGAGGGAGAAGGCATATCATTAGGGACTGGGCTCTGCAGAAAATAGGGGAGCCACGTTTCCCAGATCCTGCCTCAACATCCAAAGGTAATGTGGTCCCAGGAAAGCTCCCTTCACCTTTTGCAGGTGGTTTGGTGAGCAGGCACCAATGTACTGAGTCTCAGATGCAGTTAACTCTTGTCCTGACATTACATTAGCTCGTCTTTGGTGGTAGTCTTCCCGGAGAGGGTGGGGAGCACTGGGACAGGTTGCCCAGAGAAGCTGTGGATGCCCCATCCCTGGAAGTGTCCAAGACCAGGCTGGAGGAGGCTTGGAGCAACCTGGTCTAGTGGAAGGTGTCCCTGCCCATGGCAGGGGGGTTGGAACTGGATGGTCTTTAAGGTCCCTTCCAACCCAAACCATTCTATAATTCTATGATTACTTCCCATTACCTCTGAAGGCAGCTGCTCTGCTGCCGTGTCTGGGGCCATGGCAGCATTGCTCGCAGGTACAAGGCGACTGCCAGGGCTGCTTGGACGTGTCCTCTGAAATGCTCGCTGCTATTCTTCTATTAAGCTGCGCCAGGGGAGGTTTAGATTGGATGTAAGGAAGAAGTTCTTCACCGAAAGGGTTATCACACACTGGAACAGGCTGCCCAGGGAGGTGGTGGAGTCACCATCCCTGGATGTGTTTAAGAGACGAGTGGATGAGGTGCTGAAAGATATGGTTTAGTGGTGGACAGATACGGTTGGACTGGATGATCTCTAAGGTCTTTT